AACCCCAAATCTGTCATTTCAAATTCAGTTTGCATGGCTAACTTAAACTGGTCCAACTCTTTAGGATTACTTCCAGTTACCAACAAATCATCAACATATAGAGAGACTACAACCAATCCACTTTCAGTTTTCCTAATGTAGAGTGTGTGTTCATTTGGACTTCTAATATAACCAAGGCTACATAAATGGTCATTTATCCGGCTGTACCAAGCTCCAGGGGCCTGCTTCAGACCATATAAAGCTTTCCTCAGCAAGTCCACTTGATCTTCTTTTCCCTCAACCTTATAACCTTCAGGTTGCTCCACATAAATCTCCTCTAAAATCCATCCATTCAGGAATGCCGATTTGACATCAAGCTAGAAAAATTTCCAGTCAAATTGGGCTGCAAGTGCTAGCAATAACCTGATAGTGTCTTGCCTGGCTACCGGGGAAAATGTATCAGAAAAATCAATGCCTGGTTGTTGTGCAAAACCTTTGACCACCAGCTTTGCTTTGTGCTTGTGGATTGACCCATCAGGATTGGTTTTCAGCTTGAAAATCCATTTCACATGGATTACTTTTCTCTTTTTTGGTCTTGGTACCAACTTTCAGGCATGGTTCTTCTCAATCATGCTGAGCTCCTCCTGCATTGCAGCGTTCCACGATTTAGACTTTACTGCTTCATAGTAATTTCTAGGTTCCACCACAGCCATATTGCACTTTCGTATACATCAGCCAGAGATCTAGTCCCTCTTACTGTATGTTCATCATCATCATTAGAATCTACTTCTCGAATCAGCCCCTCTCTTATCTCTTCCTGTCTTGACTTAGCTTGCTCATCTATCTTCTTCTCTTCCCAGTTCCAAACTGCACTTTCATCAATCTTTATATCCCTTGAAATCACAATTTTTCATGACTTAGAGATGTACACTCTATAACCTTTAGAATTGCTGCTGTAGCCTATAAAAATCCTAACCTCAGCCTTGTCATCCAGCTTGGTTATTTTGCTTGCTGGAATCATGACATAACCAATGCTTCCAAATATCTTCAAGCTTCCCACTGCTGGTTTAACTCCACTCCATGCCTCAAACAGAGTTTGGTTCTTCACTGCCTTGGTTGGCAATCTGTTCAGGAGAAAAGCTCCTGTGTTAACAGCCTCAGCCCATAACATTTTAGGAAGATTCTTCTCTGCCATCATATATCTTGCCATCTCCATGATGGTTCTGTTTCTCCTCTCACAAACACACCATTCTGCTGAGGAGTGTAAGGGACTGTAAAGTGATGTTGAATTCCAGCTTCATTATAGATTGAGCTGAATTCATTTGAGGTGTATTCTGTCCTATTGTCACTCCTTATGGTCTTGATCAATGTTCCAGCTTGATTCTCCATTAGCAACTTGAATTTTTTGAACACAGCAGCCACCTCAATTTTTTGCTTCAGAAAATACACCTAGGCCATCCTAGAATAATCATCAATGAAGAGTACAAAATACCTACTACCATTTAGTGAGTCAGTTTTCATAGGACCACACACATCAGTGTGGATTAGTTGCAGCTTGGTACTTGCTCTCCAGGCTTGATCTGAAGGGCATGATGGCCTGCTAAGTTTGCCAAGTTGGCAGGTTGTGCATAAATTCTTTTTCTCCTCTATTTTGGGTAGGTCTAGCACCATGTCTCTTGTCTTGAGTTCTTTGATTCCCAAGTAATGAAAGTGGCCAAACCTTTTATGCTACAATTCAGATTCTTCAGCCCTACTAGTAAGTGCTAAGTTCACTGATTTTTTTCCATTCTAGCAGGAAGCTTTTTCCCAGCATCCTAACATTCATTAACTCATTTCCTCACAGTCTATTACAATGCAAGAATGGTTTTGAAAATGTAAAGTGTAATTCTTCTCTAACATTTGCCCTATGCTTAACAAATTTTGAGTAATTTCTGGTACAAATAAGACACTTGAAATAACCTTAGTGCCTGTTTGTGTTTGGATTGCAACATCTCCAATTCCCTTGGCTTCCACATAATCACCATTTCCAATCTTGACTCTGGAGCTGTAGGTTCTGTTAGTCTGATAAAATTCTCTAAATTTGCTACCATGTGGTTGGTACAACCACTATCTATCAGCCACACATCACCACTAGTCTGAATTGAGTAGCATGAAGCTACAAACAATTGCTCAGATTCATTGCCCTGCTGTTGATCCTCTGTAGTTTGAGCTTGCTATGATGGTTGTGCACTTTTGTTCTTGCACACCTTTTCAATGTGACCAAACTGTTTGCACCCTCTACACTAGATCCCAGGCCTAAACTAGCACCTATTCTCTGGATATCCTTTCTTTTTGTAGTGAGAACATGATGGATAACTCCTTCCTCCACTCAGTTTTCCCTACTGTCCACTGGTTCTCTCTTTTCATCTCTTGTCTCTGGCATACTTTCTATTGCTTCCCTGCATATTCTTTCCCTTTTGAACAGCCATCATAGCACCTTCATTGGAGTCCTCTTGTCTCATCAACCTTCTTTGTTCTTAAGCCTGCAGTGCATGGACTAATTCGGTAAGGCTGATTTGTGAGAGATCATTTGAATCTTCTAGGGAAGATATCTTGGATTCAAATCTTTCGGCTAAGCTAACTAGCACCTTTTCAACAATCATCTTGTCACTCAACTCAACTCCCAACAATCTGATCTTATTCACCACACTCATAAGCCTATCCACATACTCTTTTACTTTCTCCATCTCCTGCATTCTTAACATTTCAAACTCTCTCCGCAAGTTTATCACTTGCATATTTCTTGTTGTATCACTTCCCATGAACTCCTCCCTTAGCCTATCCCATGCTTCTTTTGCTGTTTCACATGCCATTATCTTTGTAAACACTAGGTCTGTTACAGTAGAGTGTATATGAGATAAGGCCCTTGGAGCTTTTGACACTTCCTCTTCATACATCCTTATCTGATTCAGAGTGGGGTTTGGACCAACTGTTTCTCCCCTTCCACATGCTGCCAAAGCCCCTGCCCTTTTAGATAAGCTTTCATTCTAATGGCCCAAATATGGTATTGGTCCCCATTAAACACTGGTGGTGAGAGAGAAGCTGACTGAGCTGCCATGGAAAACAGGTTGTAGTTTTAGGACAGAGTTGTTCTTCAAGAAGGTTGAAGTTTGATGGTGATTCAAAGGTTGGTTTTTGAGTTTCTTAGATGGTGGTGTGTTAATCCAGCTCTGATACCATGTTGGTATTTAGCTATGCCAGATTGTCTAAGAAAAGAGAGAAATACTGAAGAAGGTTCAAATCATGTTTTCATTAGCTAACAACTACATAATATAACATTTTTTTTTGGCTTACTATTACAACCACTATCCAGCAAACCTTTTACATAATGCAAGGTAATCCACACAAATCTAACAACCATGCTACACTTTGGAGACACAAAGCCTCAAATCAAGCTGGATTTACTTAAACAAATTTTGATACAAAAGTTGACAAACTGGTCCTAAACTATTGCCTTTAGTAGGGGTAGAAAAAACCGGTTAACCGAACCGGTTTATCCTATATTTGAATCGAATTGGATTCTGGTTTAGATAAAAAACCTAACCGAAACTAAATCGGTTTTTTTATTTAAACCGGTTTGTAACCGAACCGAAAATTCGGTTCAGTTAACCGGTTTTAAACCAGTTTTTTAAAATGGTCTGGACCAATTGGCCCAATTCAATAAAACCTTCCAATTTGGCCAAATTTACTATAGTTTGCCACTCACCCATTCCAAATGGTCTTTGATCGGACAAATAAAAGGGAGACCATATTTTTCCAAGAATTTTTCGGATTGGAGGTTGAGATGGTGAAACCAAAGACCAATAAAAGGAAGACCATAGGATTTTTTTCGGATTGGAGGTTGAGTGGTAGGTTGAGATGGTGAAACCATGGTTGATGGTGCTTATACAGATGACTTATGGTTTTGATGATGAAGTTTTATTTGGAGTATAGAACATTGGAACTGAAGTTGCAGAGAAGAAAAAGATAGAAATGGTGGATGCGTATTTGGCTATTTGTAGAGAGAGTGAGAGAGAGGAAGAGGGAGAGTGAGAGGAAGTTAATAAAAGAGAAAGCTTGAAAATGAGAAGGAGAGAGACGTATTTAGTAAAAGTGAAAGATGAAGATTGAAGAGATCGAGGGAGAGAGAGAGAGGCATTGAATAAGAGAAAAAAGTGTAGAAATCGAGAAAAAGAGAGTGGTATAATACCGATAAAGAGAGAAGGATTTAATGAAAGAAATTTTTTTTTTTTTTTTTTAAAATCGGTTTAACAATCCGGTTTCGGTTAACCGGTTTATGTTTTTAAAAAAACTGAAACCGAACCGAATATTCGGTTTACCCATTATTGTAAACCGAAACCGAACCGAATCCCTTAAAAAACCTAATTTTTGGTCCGATTTTTCGGTTCGGTTCGGTTTTCGGTTTTTTTTTTTCCACCCCTAGCCTTCAGTACAGCACCATGCACACCATTTTGTTTGCGTCAAAAAACCATCTTCAAGCTTCAGTTCCAGCACAGCATCAACCTTTAACATGTTTTCTCAGTAGCGCATTTGATTGTGCTATAATTTAGTGTTTGTATATTGTAATCAAAGCCCTGTTAGTGTTATATTTTAGCTGGTGACTAAAATTTAATACAACGTATACATTTTACAGAGGTTATGGCTCCAGTTTTGCTAGGTTTCTTATGTGATTGTTGTTTCAAATATAGAGGGCACTTTGAATTAATTTGGGATGCTATGTTGATATATTATATCATTTGGGATGCATTGAAAATGAAGAAAAATATAGATATACTCTTTTAATATCTAACAAAGTTCAACTGAAAATACTTGGACGGATTCTCGGCTTCAAATTATTTGATTTCTAGTATTTTCCTGTTTTCTGAAACGTTGGATTATTGCCATTGCTATCAAATCCACAGTCCTCCAGTATTTCTTCCTCCAGTTTTCCTTCAACAAAGAAAGAACAGTGAAAAACCCACCGGAGCCAGCTCCATAGCCAACTACAGCTGCATAAAACATCTCCTGCCTAGAATCCTCAACATCAACACTCGTTTCTGAACCTGAAGAATCATTGTCATGACATTTGATATCGATGGCACTCCACACAAGAACTCATTTCCGGTATAGGCTGATCCATCTATGTTCACTGTGTCAAAGTGTTGCCCTGTTGGAATTCTACCACTGAAATTGTTGTAGGATAAGTTAAAAGCAGAGAGATAGTCTAGAAATGTGATTGCTGTAGGAATATTCCCACTCAGGTTGTTGAAACTCAGGTCCAGGGACTCCAAACCAGACATTTCATTAATGGTGATTGGGATCTCACCAGAGAGCTGATTGTGTGAGAGATTGAGCATATAGAGTCCCTTTAGAAGGCCTATTTCTGAAGGAATGTGTCCTGTAAGAGAGTTGGCAGAGAAATCTATGCCATTGAGATACGTCCGGACGACCTCATGTTTTTGAAACAATCCCTTACTCACCATGTCTAGCTCTACTCCTGTATACATGGATGAGATGACATAACCGAGGAGATTTCCATCCTGAGGTCGAGTTCTCATCATCTTGAAACCATTTAGTCTTTCAGGGATGGAACCTGAAAGCTTGTTGCTTGACAAGTCTACATATTGTAGCTTTTCCAGCTTGTTTATCTCTGGAGGAATTGAACCATTGAAGAAATTAGATTCCAGGACGAGAATTCGGAGGTTTTGGAGGTCTCCAATGGATGGAGGTATCTTTCCTTGGAATCTATTATACCCCAGCTTAAGAACACCCAAATCCTGAAGTTTCAGAATGAATCCTGGAAATAGGCCTCCAAAATGACTTCCTGTAATGTCAAGATAACTCAAACTTTTTGCACCCTCCAAGCCATCAGGAAATTCTCCACCAAGGTTGTTCCCTCCAAGGTTCAAAAAAATGAGAGAAGTGCAATTTCCCAAACTGGTGGGAACTGTTCCTTCCAGACTGTTGTTAGAAAGATCAATGAGCATCAACTTCTTGTTTGAATGACAGAAAGATGAGGGTATCTGACCATGAAGTTTGTTTCTAGAGAGTGATAAATATTTAACTTCCCCAGTTCCAAGCTCTAATGGTATGTAGCCTGTGAAATTGTTCCCCGAAAAGTCTACAGCTTCGACATTCTCAAGCAGGGGAGGAATGGATCCCCGAAGTTGATTGCTTGCTAAATTCAATGTTGTTGGTCCCTCAAATGAGTGTAACTCAATGTGGGGTGGGAGAACTCCTTGGAGTTGATTGAAAGACAGATCCAAGTAACCGAGTTTTGGTAGATTAAATAGCCAAGAGGGAATTGATCCTGACAAGTTGTTGTAGGATAAAGTCAAGAATCTAACCCGGGTCAGATTCGATATGAAATCCGGGATAGTTCCTCCCAAAAGACATGCATTTAAGTCCAGGTACTGAGGTTCAAAGCTTGGTGGAAATGGATTTTGGTCTACTTTCACCATCAACCCACTAAATCCTAAACCTATCCTTTCTAGATTCGAGCTCTTGATCAACGATGCAAACGACTCGATCATTCCATTCATGTTGTTGGAACTGATTATAAGATACTTCAGCTGGGAAAGCTGACTGATGCAGCCTGGTAAGTTTCCTGTGAAATGGTTTCCTGCCAAAGAAAGATGCTGGAGGGAAGATATGTTACAGATTGAACTGGGAATGGATCCTTGCAAAGAATTCTGCTTGATTTAGAGTAACCTCAGGTTTTTCAATTTGGAAATATCCGACCAAAGATGGCCTGTTATGTTGTTGAAATCCAGTGCTAAAATTTCCAACTTTGAGAGGTTCATCAGAGGAGGAGGTATTGGCCCCTGGAGGAAACAATTGGAAGCTTTGAATAGAGTCAAAGTAGTGGTGTTGGCAAAAGAAGTTGGAAATGATCCAACAACTTGAGTTGATGAGATATGAAGAGCTAATAATCGAGGCCAAGGAGCTGCAAACATGGAATGCAAATCAATGATAATCTCAGAGTTGTTTCCCACATAAAGTTCTGTCAGTTGAGGAAGATAAGGGATTGGACCCTGTAGATGTGACTTGGTGAGATAGAGCCTGGAAAGAGAAGTGAGATTGGCTAATTCTCCAGGAATCGGGATGCGAAAAAATTGAAGTCCATCATCAGTCCAGAGAGATTGGTGAGGTTGAGAAGCTGCTTTGCAGGAAATTTTCCGGAAATCCTGCAATTCGACAGCTGAAGACGCTGGAGATTGGACAGAAAAGATAAAGGATTAGCCCACTGGTTTGAGTTTGTAGCCTTAGAAAGATCCACACCTCTCAAACTTAGTACTCTAAGATTATGAAACCCCTGTAAGAAATCTAAAGATGGCAAAGAAAGGTGGCCTGCATATATGTAACCATATTCAGCACCAGTGTAAATCTGAAGTGAGGATGACAAGTTGTAACCAATAGTGGAAAAGTCATTTGCCACATAAGAACATGAAACATCAAGGTGTGTAAGCAAAGTAAGGTTGGAGAATTGGGTTGTAATGGAGCCACTAAACATTGCATTGGAAAGATTCAGGTAAGTGAGTTTAGTGAGATTGGAAAAACCTGAGGGGATGTTTGTGTACATTAAGTTTCAAGTTTCATTGTTGTGTTGTGGTGTAACTGAATAGAAATTGAATAGTTGACACTTTTAAAGTCTTCTTTATATTTTTTATATATATTTTTTTTATGATTCAAAAATCCAAGTTTAAAATTGAACCTTTATCAAGCCCTACGGCTTTTGGAAAGTGAGAAATAATGGACTTTTGCGATGTAGGTAACTATGACTAAGTAGTTCAAATCCCATATTTTGTGAGAGTAGGCCATAGCTCTGACTGTTCGGAGAACCTTTAGGATAACACGTAATTTTTTTATGAATATATTATTTCAGGATTGAGATAAGAACATTTGACTAGGTTAAATTTGGATTCGGGTGAGGCATTATTATAAGTTTCTATTGGGTTAAGTATACTAAATTCAAAGACAGTTACTGGTTTTGTTTTTAAACATGCAGAGTGATGCACACAAAGGCATGCAAAGAGGTGACTTTTGAATGAAAAAAAAAAAAAAAAACAAAAACAAAAACAAAATTGGAGCTTCTTCAGGTTATGTCATGGATTATCATTATACCTATCCTATTCTTATCTCCAAGCTTTTACCATTTCAATTAGTGAGTGAAAATTACAGACTGATGGACATGGTCAAATGAATAATAAATATTTTAATATATAAGAAATTAATGTTTATTGAATTTCTTTTATTTTCTTCCATTTCCACCCATCCAAACACCCTGAATCCACTAATTTCAGTTCAAGATACCATTAAAATCTTCAATGGTAAAATTAATTTACTATAAATTTTTAAAACATTATTTCGATGACTTTAGTTTCATCTGTTTAATAACATTACAAATAGTTATGAAAAATATATATTTAACATTATGTTATTATTATTTTTCTTTGTAATTAGACCATGTCAAATTCAGATTTTGCAAGCAACTGTTACTGTCATAACTAATAAATGTATCTTAACATAACATTTTTTTTAGGTATATCCAAGTGTATGCCAATCAGTGATGCAAGAATCGAGGTCAAAAACATTAAACAAGTTCATAAAAAAAAAAAAAATCTAGTCAATAATTATGAATTTTATAATATTTATAAACGAGCATGATAATGACATTCTATTTATTAAAATCCCTTACCGAGTAAAAAACGAAAAATGACAAAAAAAAAAAAAAAAAAAGTTATGTACCTAATTCGATATTTTACGTCATTTTTGTAACAAAATAAGAGTCGTTTAAACGCGTTATCTAACTTAACTTAGCGAATAAGGTAAAGTTAGCATGATAACCAAATACTTAATAACTTATTTAACTATCCATGGTAAATAACAATGGTGACAACTGACAACTCCATTGATGGTTTCTTAATGTTTGCCTTTTATGATTGTAGAAAAAAGGATAAGTGCTCAATTGTGGGAAAATTTACCCAACTTAGTATTCTATTAATATAATGGTAGTCATTGAATAGAACTCACTTTTAAAAAATGATTTACACACAAGAATATTTAAATGTTATAAATATATGGCTAGTTTTAAGAGGTTTGAAGTTTAAGTCTCTCTTTATGTGTTAACAGGGATAGTTATTGGACACATAAACTGATCCAAACACCTTCGATTATAAAAAAGAGAGAGAGAGAAAAAAAAAAAAATAACAACAACAACGAATGAGGGCACTCTCAAAAACCAGCTTACAAGGCGACTAGGGGAGATGCCAAGTGTTTATTAGCCCAATGATGGAGCTTTTGCATAGCAAAGTGGGACTCAATTGAGTTGTTCAAAGAACCTTGTTTCTTTGTAAGGGTTTGGACATACATAATTATCTCACTAATTCTAATAATTCCCAAAATATTAAGTTTTATTTAATTTTTTTTAAAGGATATAAACGTAAAACCATATTACTTACTATTTATACCCTTAATAAAACATATAAAAAATTTGCTCTTTAACATATAATCTTTCCTTTCTATCCACAAAGATTTTCTTTCTATTCCCACAAATCTGGAATCGTATATTAAAACAAGCTAGATTATACTTGATAATAATAAATTAATAAGTCTAGTATTTTCAAAAGTTAATATGTATCCCGACTATTTTTATCTCCACACTTTTTATAAAGGGTTATTATCAACCAAAGGTTCAGATGACACTTTAATAAAAGAACTTAGGGTGTGTTTGGTTCATGAAATGTTGTATTACCGAAAAGATAGATTGCCAAAGAATCTTTAGAGAAATGTGTTTGGTTGGTTGGAATAAATTGGTGGGTATGTTATAATAATATTTTGATTGGGAGGATAAATGAGTGTGTATGTTATATAGATTACTAAATTACACTCTTTTTTAAATAATAATATAATATTATTTCTATTATTTTTTAACCCCCTATATTTGAAATTTTGCTAAAACACCCTAGCCATATAAAACTGTAATTTGTAGCAAAATCACCCCCACCCATCCTAAGCCACTGTCTACAGCCATCATAATGGCGCACGACCTGCCAGATCTGGCTGGTCATGCGCCGGTAAGGCCTAATTTGCATGGATCAAAGATCCATGGCTAAAAACGGCTAGATATGGCCGTTTCACCGCCAAAGATGTGGTCGTGAAACAGAGGCCATTTTATGGCCAAAGATATGGCCTTTTCATGATCAGATCTAATCGTTTTCAGTCATGGATCACAAATCTAAGGCCAAAAATGTCCTTATTGGCACACGACTAGCAAGATTACGTCGGTCTTGCCCCGATATGAAAACTTTCACCGACGGCAGTCGTGGCTAGCAGCTGGCGGTGGTCTTGGGTGGTTGGGGATATTTTGTTAATTTTTAAACTTTTTTGTGGGTAGGGTGTTTTAGCTATATTTTCAAATGTAGGGGGTTGGGTAATTGTTATTTGATAAACATATGAGGGCAAATGTGTCCTAAATGATAAAAGATTAAGGGCAAAATGAGGTCAAAATTAAGATTACCTCGGTAATCTTAATTAACATCCCTTATGATTACCCCCAATATTACCAACAGTAAACACTATTTGCAATAAAAGATTACTTAATATTTTATTACTTGACAACCAAACGAGGGAATCTTGAAAATTAAACAAAGATTATAGGATTAATCTTATATCACCCTAAACCAAATGCAACCTTATAAGTATAGAATATAAATATTAGAAAAGACAATGAGAGGACACTTAACAGTGCAAAACCCATAAGAACTTGGATATAACAAGTTACGATATTCAGTGTGTTACCGGGTTGATAAAGACCCTCTCATCCTTACGTTCATAACATTGGATATCATTATATTTTCTTAAGTTATACAAGAAGATTGATCCACATTCCTCATCCTCAACAGAAATTTTTGTCAATATCAAGACGAGAGTACTTTTTGTTTTAAATGGGCACCAGGAAAGAGCAATAAGTAGCTTCCTTCTCTAGCAACCAATTTCATGATGCAAGAATCACATGGCTGGTAACTCCCTCAACATCACCTCAGTACTTTTCCATTGTAGTTTTTGTTGTTTCTCTGTGATACTTACAGTCAAAAGTTGGAACCCCAGTTGAAGAATTACTGCGAATTTATTCTTTGAATTGTACAAAGTTTTTCTGGGCCAAGCCCATAAGAACTTGCACACTTACAGAAAACACACTAAATTTTGTACTAAGCGTAGGCACTTATCATGTAATTTTTTCAGAACATTTTCTATGTATTTATGAACTATATTTTGTAGGTTTTGAACCTGGAGAATCCTAAGGAAAAGCACTGCTACGAAGTTGGCACACACTGAAAATACTGCATACAGGAATTGTCATGTTTCATTGAACAAAATGCAAAATAATATACATGGTTTGCACTGCTGTTACACCTACTCTGCAATAGGCTTACAATCAAAATAAAACAGCCATACTTTACTAACTACTACAACCACATCACATTACAAAACACCTAACTAGCTGATTTACAACTGAATTCACCTAAATTAACATTACATT